CCTTGACCTAAGGGTTTGTGTTAAAAAGTCTGCTGTGATTCTAATGGGCTTCCCTTTGCATGTGATTTGTTTCTTTTCTCTTACTTCTTGTAGTATTTTGTTTTTGTGTTGTATTTCTGGAATCTTAATTATTATATGTCTAGGTGTAGATCTTTTTTGATCGTGGCTAGTTGGGATTCTATATGCCTCACTTATCTATATGTCTAATTCTTCCCTTCTGTTTGGGAAGTTTTCTGTCATTAATTCTGTGAAGAGCTTTTTTATGTCATTTGCATTTTCTCCTGTTTTTTCATGAATTCCTATCAGTCTTATGTTGTTTTTCTTTGTTTTGTCTAGGAGTTGTTGGATTGATTTTTCATGATCCCTTACTGTTTTTAAGAGACCTCTTTTTTCTCGGTCACTGACTCTGATCCTATCTTCTATATCTGAAATTCTATCTTTGCAGTCTTTTATTCTGTTGCGTACACTTTCAATAGAGTTTTTAATCTCCTGGATATCTGTTTGAATCTGTTTTATGGATTCCATTTCTTTCCTCTGTTGGGCATTCATTGTTTCCATGTCTTTCTTATGCTGAGTCTTCATGGCTTCTATCACAGTCTTGAGCTCATCTATTTTTTTCTCAGTTTCTGCTCTAGAGTCTCGAATCATGACTTCCAGTTTGCTCATCATCTCTCTGGTTAACTGGGAAATTATTTCTGATTTGAATTTTTCTAGAGCCTGATTGATCTGTTTTGTTACCTCCTGTGCTATGGGTCCAGGGTGTCCTATTGGTTCACTATCAGACTTTTCATCCTCATTTGTCCTACTATTTGCCATTGGTGAACTGGAAATCTGTTTTTGTGTCTTGCTTAAGTGTTTTCTCATTTTTATTTTTATTGTTGGGTTGTCCTTCTTTAATTTCTGGGTATTACTTATATCTTCCTAATATAGTTGCATTTTAGCTTTTGAGTTTCTAATGACTCACAGACATCCTCATTTTCATAATATCAGAGAAAATAACTCTTTAAATCAATCACAACCCTTTATCCCAATTGATACATTCAGCAGCCCAATAGGATCAGGCACAGCTTGCAAATCACTTGTGGTAGTCATTAATGTATCACCTTTAACTCATGTGAATTAAATTAATTTCAAGAAGCAGCCCATAATATGTTTGCAGTGAATATGCTTTTCAATATAGCATCTTTACCATTTAGGATGGGGGGTTAGACTTAGAATGAGGGAATTAGATAAATGAAAGGATTAAAGCAGGTTTGAAGTGAGTCCAAAGGATGTAGAATTACCTTACTATCTTTACAAAGCTATTAACTTCAGGGGGGATAGAGAGAGTGCAGGAATAAGGGCAAGAATATATCCCCTTAACGATAACAGGCGCTTGCCTTCCCTTGAAGGTACAGAGCCATGAGTGAGGTAAAATGACTGGAGAAAATACCATAAAGAGAAACCCCTCCTAAAAAGAAAAAAATAATAAAAGAAGAAGTCTGAGTTAGGGCAGGAGCCGGAATAAAAAGGGAGATGAGGGATAATATGGTGGAGCAAGAGACTGAGTTGGAGAGAGAGGACAGAAAAAAGAAAGAAATTTGAGGGTGGAATGAGGAAAAGAAAAGAGAGAGGAAAAAAAAAAAAAGAATTTGAAGGGCCTCTTTCAGACTGTCTCTGTTCTCATAATATACCACATGTACAGCCATATGCAGAACCGAATCCCCTGGTCTCAGCTAGCCAATGGCAGTTCCCCATGACTGAGACTGAACATAGTCCACAAGGCCCAATTTGAGTTTCCCTACCCTCAGGGTTGAACTCCACTCAGTTCTGTTACAGGTTTCTCCTGCCCTTTCTTTAAAGATGTTCAAAATTGGGAGCTCAGAAAACTACCCTTCATGAGAACCTATGCTTCTGCAGAGTTGGTCTAAGGACTGGCCCAATATGGTTTGAGAACGGGGTAGGGGGGTCATGGGGGTGTTTCAAGGGCACCCGCGCAGCTACCTTCCTTACTGGGTCTGTGGTCGCACAGTCCGGGAGGTCGCGCACCCACCGGGTGATCTCAGGCAGGCAGGCAGCTGAAGAAACCCCCTCCGGGGTCTTTGGGTCCTTGCTGGGTCTGTGGTCGCGCAGTCTGGGAGGTCGCGCACCCACCAGGTGCTCTCAGGCAGGCAGGCAGCTGAAGAGACCCCTTCCAGGTTCTTTGGTTCCTTGCTGGGTCTGTGGTCGCGCAGTCTGGGAGGTCGTGTACCCGCCGGGTGATCTCAGGCAGGCAGGCAGCTCAAGTCGCGCTTTCTTGCTGAGCCCTGACTCACTGTGAGGGAGGTGGGCTCAAACCAGTTGATGCATGGTGACTACTGGCAACCAGAGGCTTCCATGGAAAAACATACCAGTGGAATGGGGCAGTGGCTAGTGAGTTAATCAGATTCAGATATCCCTGGAGAGGGCACTTCACTGGTAGCCAACTCAGAGGTGAAATGAGTTTTCTATACTTAATAGTCTACTTGCTTTGTTGTATATTTGGGTCTGTTAATTTAGTGGTGGTTGGGATTGAACCTGGGGCCTCGTGCATGCTGGGGAAGTTCTCTACCATTGAGCGACACACTGCAGCCCTAATTTTAATTTTATTAGTTGACATGAGTTAGAATGGATTTGGTACGTAAGTGCACATAGTAGAGTTCACGTAAAACTTAAAAGCTACAGAAAACATTTTAAGTGATCTGGGGTTTAAAAGATGGAGAAATGTCATGGGTTAAAGTTGATAAATGCCATTGGGCCTTTGACAAAAAAGGTAGTTGCGCTCTGAAGTCACAGTAGAATTTCACCAGCTTCAGTTGGGTGGATTATTGCTATTTACAAACAAATTTGCTTAGCAGTTTTCAAATTTCTTGTAGAGATTTCAGCTTCCTATTTATAGTGTCAGGATAGTAAATGAATATTCTCTAGCCTTGCCTCTCTTCTGATGTTACCTCATTGATTTTGGACAGAATGTATCCTCCATCACTGTCTGTTTTCTTGTTGTTGAGGAAGGGCATAATCCTTTGTCTTCAGGCCAAAACACACTCAGACCTTCCAGGGATATATAGAGTCCTTTTCTCGATAGCACATTCAGACACCGTTGGCACAGGATGTCTTTGTTAGAGTCTACATATTTAGCTCATGTCCCACAGCTGGTTTTGAGTGTGTTTTTAAACCTGCAAAATAACCTGGATCTCTTTTTCTTCTCTTCAGGCTGGATACTACTGAGAGAATGGTCCCGTTAACCTCCTAGCTGCCTGTACTGAATTATTTCGGTACTCAATGGTTAATGAAGAGTAATTTTAAAATTGTACCAAAATCAGAAATATGTTGATGCAGTGTGATCAAACCTAAAAATTGCTGTCCCTCACCGTTATTAAAACTTGCCCTTTCAGCCAAATTCCAATATCCTGTAATAGTGAATGTATTCTGAGAACCTATTCTTAATCGTAGTGGGAGGCAAAAATGTATTAAGTGAAGTCCATACTCTTTGGGGATATAAGGAGGTTTCAGAACTTGCTCAGTGACCTGTGCACCCTAGTTCACAAGACACCTCATCTGCTCTGCCATGCTGTTATTTGGTGAAGCTTCCAAGAGCTGAACATTTCCCAGGGTCCCCAGTGATTCTCTGTAATCCAGAGAGGTGGGGAGAGATGTTCTCAGCTCCTTTTGAGGTTTGAGGCACTACAATTGACCTTAAAATTGCAAATTAGTGGATTTTCCAAGAACAAATCTTTTTTGTCATTTCTGTAGAGTACATTTAAAGTGCAAGTACTTTTATTTATTTATTTTTTTGAAATTTCAGGAGTAAGTCTTTCTGAATAAATTTAGCCTACAGAATTTAACATGAGGGAATCATTTCTGTCACATCTGGGTGTGGTGGTGCACACCTGTAATCTTAGTACTTGGGAGGCTGAGGCAGGAGGATTGCTGAGTTCAAGGCCAGTCTGAACTATATAGTGAGACCCTGTCTCAACTGAAAAAAAGAAGGGTCTGGGATATTAGGGGATGCCCCTCACACATTGAGACTTGAAGAGTTGGCCTTGAAAAGCTGGCCTTATGGTCAGAAGTTGTCTTCATTCTTTCTCATTATCTATTACCTGAAAGGTTTTTGGCTTGACAGTCTGTGTGACTATTCACAAATACTTATTGTGGTTAGTATCACACAAAGCATCTTGTAAATCATAAGGCTTCCTAGAAGATTTTAGCTTATTTCATACAAATATCATCTCTTATTCATATGGTGTTACATGTTATAAAATCTAACTTCAATTTTTAAAGTGCTTAGTAAGAGTAATTATAAAAATACTTATCTCTCAGGATCTTAAAGTTGCAAGTTAGTAAGTTCAAGGACAAGTCTTTTAAAAAGTCTTATTTATGTAGCACAGTGCAAGTATACTTAACTCTCTTAAACTTCAGAAAGACCCCTTTCTGAACAAACTCAGCCTAGCAAAGGAGTCATTTCCTATCACAAAAAAAGAGGCCTTGGACATTAGGACTTTGGGGCTGAAGAGCCTCATGGGTCACATAGCTAGTGGCCCATGAGAAATTTGGAGAAATAACCTTAAATCAAGTTGGCCAAACTGAAAGGGAAGGAGAATGGAGAGAGGATCTCCTGAGCAGGTGAGAAATTATCCTCATCAACGCCTTATGTAGCCAAGACCTGAGGCTGCAGCCAGGTGGGAAGTGCTAGGGGAGGACCTTGTGAAATGTGGCGTCCTCTGCTGGACAGTGCTGTGAGCTTGGGCCGCAGGATTCCACTTCCCCTGCTCAGGACTGGAAAGAGACTTGGGCCTTACTCAGTGAGAGAATGTAATTTCACTTCATTGAATGTATAATCACCTGTTGAATAATTTGTTCTGTTTAGTCTCCCTGAAGTATATTGTGTCTTTGTCACAGTGTGAGGAGTCAAGAATTAATCACTGGCGTAGTTTAGGAATAAATCCCGCAAACTGTGGTTCTAACAGAATTATCATAAAATTTCTTAGAATTTCAATTTGAAATTTACATTTAATATCTTGTACATTATAATTTCTAGTTAAGCCAAATTACTGGTTTGTCTACTAATGTATTCTGATCCTAAATAAATACACTATATTTTATAAAATTGTTTTTTTTTTTTTTTTTGTTTTTTTTGAGATAGGATCTCACTATGTAGTCGAGACTGACCTGGAACTCAAGTCCAGACTGGTCTTGAACTCACATCGATCCTCCTGCCTCAGCCTCCCAGTGCTGGGATTACAAGTGTGCACCACCACACCTGGCTAGTTCTTTCTTATTTTGAAGAATGGTTTCAAGTGTCCTGCTCTGGATCCCATGGGTGCTTTTGTAGGACACTCTGTGTGTGTGTGTGTGTGTGTGTGTGTGTGTGCGCGCGCGTGCGTATGCAGAAATGCATAGTGGACAAAAGAGACAGCCACAGAATGGGAAAAACTTGCTAGCTACTCATCAGACTAAAGACTAATATCTGGAAAATACAAGGAACTCAAAAAAATTAGACTCCCTCAAACATAGAGACCCAATCAAAAATGCACATCTGAAATGAATAAATACTCAGATGAAGTACAAATGACAAAATACATGAATGCTTAACATAGCTGGCCATTTGAAAACTACACATAAAAACATTACTGGATTCCACCTCCAAAACAGAATGTCTACATTCAAGAAATCAAATGACAAATGGTGGAGAGGAGCTGAGGGTGGGGGAACCCTTCATTGTAGGTGGGAACATAAACTGGTACAACCACTATGGAAATCAGTATGGAGAGGCCTCCAAAAAACAAAACGGAAATTCCATTTGACCCAGCTTCCCCTCTGCTGGTTATCTTCCTGAAAGGAGTTAAAGACCTTGAAGTACAATGATTCATGCATTCCCATTTATAGCAGCACAATTTATAATGGCGAATCCTTGGAAACAGCCTCAATGCCCATCAAAAGATGAATGAAAATGTGGTATTTATACACAGCAGAGTACTACTCTGACATAAAGGACAAATGAGTCGTTGTAGGAAAACGGATGCACGTTGAGATCATCAGTGAAGTAAATCAGATGCACAAATTTAAATACTGCATGGTTTCTCCTACGTGAGAATGTCAGTATATAACTAAAGTGCAAAATAAAGAATAGGCAGTAGGAAATAGCAAGATGGGTCTTTGGCGTGTGGGAAGGCAAAGGAAAGAGGAAAGGGGAGGAAGAAAAGAGCTTAATAGTGGGAGTTTTGTGAAATGCTGTGCTCTTGCACAACGTCCCTATAAGGAATTGAAAGAAGTGATCATATACTACAAATATATTTTTAAAAATTATATCTGCCTGTCCATCCATCCATCCTTCCCGAGGTCAAGGAGGAAATATCAGAACATGCACCAACTACCCTGATAAATGTAATAATGTACTACAACATGTACCAGACATGCATGGTGGTGGTCACTCACTTGCTTTCTGTTTCTGAGATCTTTGAGGGTCTGGGGTCAGGACTTTGATTACAGGCCCTATCAGTGTGGCTAAGGCTGCCCCCAGGGCAGACCCCTGGCTATTTCAATGAGAGTTTGCTGGTGGGGACTGTAAGAGTAGAAAGCTGTCTCTGGATTTCTGAAAAGGTGAGGTCCACAAGGCACTCAACCTTAAGTAACTTGTCAAGGTGATGCTAAGGGAGTTGCTGGTAGCCACAGAAGAGCAAGAAGCAAACTCAATAGTCCATGGGGCAGGGATAAAAGCTTCAGCCTAGAATCTGCAGGCCTAGGTTAACTATCAGGCTGCCTTGTTACACCTTGTGACTGGTTCTTAATTCCAGTGCCTTAACAAAGGAAAAAGCTTATATGATAGGAAAATGCCTTATTTACTTTGAAAGTATGATCAGAGGAGGAAGCCTGTGTAAAGCATCTTAAACTGAATTTGATGTACAGGTAAAGTTTATTACTACTAAGCTCAAATGAATGTTTCTGTTCCGTATAACTTTTATGTATGACTTCAGAAGTGCACATTTAACACTTAGTTGATCATACCACCATCTTATGACAGTTTAAGATCTCAGAGTGTTCGGGAACTTGCTTACTACTTCAGTGATTAGGGCATTATGCGCTGACTGTGCCAGGGTGAGAGGAGGTTATGGAGATGTAACCTGCAAGAACTTTGATACATGCTGGCATTCAAGCTAGCTCTAGGGCAAGTGAAGAGTGTGTGGGTCAAAGATAAGGCCGCCAGGGCTGGGGATTTGGCTCAGTGGTTCTGCCGCCTGCCTCACAAGTGTAAGGGCCTGAGTTCGATCAGGGGCCGATGACAACACCCGAAAAAAAAAAAAAAAAAAAAAAAAACGGCCATCACATCATCATGTGGACACTGCATACAACCACAGAGGTACTTATATGCCTGATACATGGGGAGAACTAGGGGAAGTGCTTCTCCCAGACAATTGATTAAGCCAAGCTCAACCCCCTGGACCAACAGCTGAAGGCCAAAACATGGCCTGCCTTGGGCTGGAGTTTAGTGAATGAGAGCATGAGCTGAAGAGCCAATGTCCTGAGCTTGACTCACCGTTATGAGTTGTGAAACAATGGGGTGATATCTAAGTTCTGTCAGGCTTGCTTCCTCAGCTGAGAGTGGGAGTACCTGTGGTTGCCTCCCAAGGCCAAGGGCGTAAAGTACTTGCTTTAGGGCCTAGTATTTGCATGCCTCGTAAAACAACATGGAGGTTGTCTCTCTGGTGTTTTGGGTGTCATTTTCATGAAGACATGAAGGAAAATAGCTCAGGTTTGCATAGCTTCCAGTTACATAAGGCACATGGGATGAACAGGAGCAATGTGCCACTGACATTTGTGTATGTACCAAAGCAGAGGCAGCTGTGACAGCATCACATGGAGGGACTGTTGCCTTCTCAGGCCCAAGCCTGGGAGCTGTGAATTTTGCTCTCTGCTGCCCTGTGTATTTTGCTCTCTCCTGCCCTGTGTGTGTCTGAGCCTGAAGGAGAGAGAAAGCATGTCTGAGCCTACTGCCCTGGTCACCAATGGCTTGGTATCCTCTGCCTTGGAAACATTACATGCTAAAGCAGTGTGTAGCCACAGGCTGTATTTATAGTTGTAGGTTTTTTTTTTTTTTTGGTACCGGGGATTGAACTTGGGTCCTTATGCTTGCAAGGCAGACCACCGAACTGCTGAGCTAGGTTTTTAATTGTTGGCATTTGAAATCTGTACTCAGAGTCTTCAGTGTTGCATGACTATCTGCACAAAGGGGCAAAGGCACCCTGTAAATAGGGTTCAGGTCTGCGAGAGAACATGCCTTCAACCCGTAGTTGTGGTTTTCCTCTAAGTAGTAGCTGCCAGCTCTGTTTATGAAGTTGGTTCACAAGGAAAGAGGGCAGGGACGCCACAGTACCTGTTCTGAAGTCCTGGCATGTTCTAGGGGTGTTTGTGTGGGTTCAGGCTAACTTGAGCCCTTTGCGTTTGTTTGTTTTTTTTGTCAGTGGACTTAGACATTTGGTTTTGTGTTTCTCTTTGCAGCTGCAGGGTGTTCTTGTACTGGTGAATTACAGTGTCAGGAACAGATGCTGAGGCTCAGGTGGCCCCTCTCAGCCCCTCCCTCCCCACCTCAGTTTACATCACAGATCAATGCTGCTGCCAAGTCCTGGTGCCTCCTGGGGATTTCTGGCTGAACATTAATTGCTTATGTGGACCTGCTGTGGTGTGCGTCCTGAGCCAGGGCCTGCTGTGTCACATGCCCTGCACCTAGTTTCCAGTCCAGAGGCAACAAAGGTGGCATTTGCCAGGAGGGCACAGGTCAGCTGCTTAAACAGAGGCTTGTTGGAAAAAGGTCAGCGTCAGAGATCACCCT